GTTACGACACGAAAAAATTACGATCATTTTTTATGTGAAATCGATTGATAAATTTAAAATGTAAAAAACATACTTGTTGCATTTTTACGAAAATCATACGTAAAGTTAGCTTATGACGCAAATGCGCGAATATCCATTGACCTTCCGAGCTCCGAGCAATGTACTCGCCGTTTTTCTTTTAAATTTTATAAAGCGCAAGCGCAGAGCACACTAAAATTTTACTCAAACTTAAACAAGCGTTAACAATACAACGTTGATAAGCTACCTGTTTTGATAACCGTACTGTTGCAGTAACGAGTAAAATCCCCGAGTCTTCATAAAAATACTCCGCAACAATGGTTAAAGGCAGTTAAAGGTTTATTAGATCCGAGTCATCCTGTATTCGAAAAATGGGGGAAAAATGCCTCAGACAAGGCCCTAAGGTAAAGGTCAACTACCAAGGAATAGAATATATCAGTGAAACGGCCACACAGGTGTGATACCTTTAAAATGGCTAAACAGATTTTGATGGGACTCTAAAAGACAAGCCTCTGATGTTAGCCCGTACGTGACCCCACTATAGATAGGTCTCTCTTTAAACACAACATTTTGTGCCACCCTGAGCTCTATTACGGGTTGAATATTAGACTAGCTGGTTCGGCAAGCGTTGCTTTGTTGTTTACAAGATTAATATTATGTTTATACAACTCTAACAAATAATTGACAATAATGTATTAATTTAAATAAAACACTTTAACGGTTTAAAACGCGATATATTAGTTAAACTTATTTGAAAATGATTTTTAACTTCGGCCCGACGTTTCGGATGCTTTGCAGCAGCCGTGGTCACGGGGAGACTAAAGATGGAGGATGTCTCTGACGTCAAAGTAACAAAATTGCGTACTTCTCGCGTAAATGTGTACTACTCGCGTAAACTATAGACAGTATTTAATAATGTATTAAATTCGATCAATTTTGATTAAAAACTTGCGAGTTAATCTTATAAGATAAACATACTCAATATAGTGTCATTTAAAGAGAAATCATTTTTTCATACATATTTTTTGGTTTCTTGTTTCACCGTTATATCAAGCTCATAGAAGGGAAGCCTTCAAAGATGTTTTCCTTGTTTTTCCACATTTTCCACTATTTCCTCGCTTCTGTTAGTCCAAGCGTGATACTGTAGTATATTCTTCCTTAATAAATGGTCTATCAAACACAAATTAAAATGTTCAATTCAGAACCAGTAGGTTTCAGATTGACGCGTTCTAACAACCTTTTCAGCGTTTTATAATATTAGTACAGATTGTAACTATGTTTTACCTGCACTACATTATTCTCTACAACGCTGTTCTTAATATTTTAAGATGCTGTATAATCCCTTAAAGGATATTAATATCTAATTTTATAGAAAAGTTTAAAATAAGGATCGCTAGATGGAGCAACAAACGGTGCACGTAAGCGCTATAAAAATATCTAGCGGTTGCCACGAAGCGATGCTATGGCGCGCAAGTCTCAATTCTCGGTATGACTACAGCTTACTGGCTGGACAGTTGTGCAATTTCAAAGTTAACAAATCGATTAGGTCGAAAAAATTCAAAATTAGTACAAAGTAGTAATTTTTAAAGCTCGCATCATTACTTATTTAGAGTATGACATGGTTATAATTGAATCATCAACAAATGGGAAGAAAATAAGCTAACAAAACTGTCATTATTAATTTAACTCTCAGATTTTAACAAATTATATTATGTTAAATTTATTTCAATATCGTTAATGTGAATGAAAATACAAAATTAGGTCTTCAACTATCTTTATTAAGTGAAAACAGTATAGATTCTCATAAGGGCGTTCTTGTTAACACAATTTCTTTTTTATTTGAATAAACGGGTTTTGTCTCAAATGGAATGCTACTTCTTGGAAAACCTTCAGATTAGTATTTACTGTAAATCCTATAGACTGTAATGACTATACTATGCTATCGCAGTCGAACACGTTATGATTATCAGGAGTCAACTCACTGACCTTGGGGCAAAAAGGAGAAACAATCCAAACACGAGGTTTTTTCATATAAATCCTAAGATCTCGTACTCGGTATATTATAAAGACCACTTGAGTATTCATTAAATAAAATATTGCTAAGGTTGGGGTGGGCCTTGATCGGTCGACAACCTGACCAAACTAAATAAATAAAACAAAATACATACATGTATATATTTATATCTAGCATTAGATGTTAAGTTAAATACTTATAAAACTACTATTAATGCTTATATGTAAAAAGTGTTAAGTGTGGTCAGTGAACAAAATGTTTTTATTTTTTATCTGAAAAATGTTGCATTACTTACCATGTCTGGAACTTAGCATGGCATGTGCATAGCATGATATGGCTCCTAAGGTATTTGCTTTAACCTATTAATATCCCACAGCTGGGCACACGTTTCCTCTCCCGTACGAGAGGGTGTTTAGTAGCACAGATCTACCGACTAATCACCACAAAATTAGTGATGATAACCGGGACTGACATTTAAACGTACACTTCGAGACATGAGGGTTATGACATCTCTTACTATCAGAGTAGACCCTCAAAGATTTAACTTCAGACACAATCAGACATATGATCATAAGATTAATGTAGGCTATAAGAGCAATAAAAGCTTCAATAGATAATTTATTACTACACTGCGTTGGCTACACGACTCAAAGTGGATCCCGACTGCCTACAATCTTTCATCAATGTCGTGTCTCCGAAAAATAATCTATAATACTTGCTAAGAATATAAAAAAAGTATCCTCGTTCTAAATTGCTCTTAGGACTAAATATAATTGTACCACTTTAAAATAATATAATCAGTAACTTGACAGTTACTGTTTCTGTTTAATATTATTAATGTAACTAATAATAACTCATAAAATATATTTAGATATATTACCTACAGTAATAAATAAATGTATTTCTATTCTAATATTATAAAGCTGAAGTATTTATTTATTTGAACGCGCTAATTTCAGGACCTACTGGTTGAAAAATAATTTTGTGCTCGATGGACCATTATTCGAGAAAGGCTGCGACGAGTAAAAACGAAACAGTGGATAAACTAAAAAAAACCGTTGCGTGCGCTGAGAAAACGGTTCAAGGGACCAAAAATATCTATGAAAGTATGATACCTCTTTGATTGATCTAAAAGAAATGTCCACGACAGTAGGTATATGTCTAATTTTTCCAGATTGACTCAGGAGAGCCGTTTATATAGTAATCAAACTTAGTTGAAATACTTCATATGGCAAAAGAATGTTTGCCAGGCCAGATAGTATACCTAATACAGTTGGATAAGTGTATTGTTAAAATAACTTGAAAGACGAAGCGCATTTTTATCATATTTTACTTTGTGTGTATATCACTAACATGCGATTTATCTTAAATACGTCTACATATTCTTAAGACTGCAATTTTATTTAATAGTCCCGGAGACCCCTATCTAGTTGCAAAGTTATAGACTGCTATTCTTCTGTTTTTGCCGAGTCCCAGCGTTGAACGCACCCTTAGCGGTGCAAACGGGATAAAAAAAGGGGATGACTGACGAGGGACATCGGCGTATTATTACTTGTCTAGCACGGTGCCCATATTGTGTTTCTCAGTGAACACTATTAAGACGATTTTATGGCTGGAATATTCCGAAACGTTGTTTAAAAAGGATGTTTTAAACATATATATTTTTCTGTATCCAATTGAATAATATGCGTGTATATAGGGATGGATGGATATCCGAAATAGCTAGACACCTCGATCGATATTATAATAATCTATACGAATTGGGTCAATGATTACTAGATTTTGCGAGAGTACAAAAATCATAGAGATTATATTTAATAAAATGATTTATTTCTTACATTACATTAAATGTTAGGTACAGTTGTAAAAATAAAGTGAATCATTAAATGGGTAGATCGAATTCTGAATATCTTATTTCGTCAATAATTGAGTCATGATAATAGTTAATTTAATATGGCATATGTTTCTTAAATACATAAAAAAGAAATTGAATACTAATAGTAGTTTTTGATTTAAATAGTTGACATAAATCGTGTCTATAAAGAGAATAGTACTTTCTTTTGTCAGGTGCTTTTATTAATTGAACGAGTTAAATTAATAATTAGCCCAGTCATCGCAGTATCAAATTCAGAACGAGACGAAACCGCAACTCCAAATCGTTGGAATACATCCGGTGGCTTTGCGGCTTATCGATTCCAATAAAACTATACTTAAACGAAAATTAAAAAGAGGGAGTGTAGCACGTGGCGATCTATCAAAACAACAAAGCCGATTGGTGTGACGTTCCACCCCGGTGATATGTACGTCGTATTACCTAAATGCCTTATGTACACCGCTAGTAACTACTTCATGACTACTCCGAGCTCAGTGTGTACTGCAATGCAACGGAAAATATGCGTGTTTACCAAAGTCGTTTCGGTAGAACGGTGTCGTGTATTGCGTCACGTTTAAGGAAATTGATAGTGCGCCGAGGTCGACGTGACTAACATAATTGCAACTTTACGATCTTTTTTACGTCGAATAACGAGTGTGCCTTAACGAAACAGTGATATTTTGTGCTCGTAATGGAATTTATCCCAATCTTTCCCGATATTCCCTGTGGAGGCCACGCGAATGCGCGACGCCACGAGTCGGAGCGTGTCCGATATAACCTTGCTATGTTGAGTGAGTACATGTTTTTTGTTTCGATCGAATCGACATTCCTGTTTAAACGGTCGCCCATAGTACGTTATTATCCGTAATAGCATATTATAATGATAAATCTATGTGAATCCGAGGAATCGGAATAAATAGGGCGTATTTATTGAAATTATTTCAAGTAATATTATCGAACGTCACAGCGAGCTCGACAAGATGGCGGCGAGTGGGGAGAGGGAGCCCAGTTGGCCAGGTGCTGCCGCCGCGTCGAGTTCGGCGCTATAGCTAACTAAATAGGTACGCAGAGTGTTGTACATTTAGAACGTTCACAATGGCTACCGCGAAAGACACGTCCACTTTCTTTCTCGAGGCGGATGCGAAACAATTCGATAGTGTTTTAAAGTTGTATCCGCAAGCGATCAAACTAAAGGCCGAGCAGAAGACAAAGAGACCCGAGGAGCTGATAAAATTGGACAACTGGTAAGTGCGACGTCTCTAAGGAGAAAATGCGGCCGTGGCGTGTCAATGAACTTGTATTGTGTGTGTATCCGTGCAAACTGATTTGATAGCTACCTCCCTCGCGGACTGCATCTCTAGTCCGCGGACGGCTCATTAAAATCACTGCGTCACGTGGGATCGATGTCAAATTGACACTATCGTTTTTCCTGAAGCCAGTGTGGGGGAAAATATCGGCGCGCTTAGGCGTTATAAAATGGTGGCTGTCCTTTACGTATCGTCGATCGTATAATGCATTTATTATATACTTGTTTTGCAGCGTACGCCTGATAACTTGATAGATCCTTGATTAAATAACACGCTTCAACATTTGTACACGCATTTCTTTATTTTATAAGCATGGAACGTGCAGTTTATCGAATGCTTTGTTGAAGAGGCTTACATCCGTTCAAAATGGTGACTTGCTATTTGGCTCGAAGAACTTTTAAACATTTTCTTTTTACTAGAACCGATAAAACAATTTCTAGGTTCGTTCTGGGCTCATTTCTTCTATATGAATTTTATGCACTAGGTTAAACAAAGAGTTAAATTGTCCTCAAATACCTACTTAAATAACATAAGTAAAATTAGTAAAAAATTATAAATAGCATTTTTAAATTTTGCCATCAATATTTAATCACTTTACACCATAATAATTCTGGGATTGAATGTTAATCATAACCATTAATGATTGTTAATTATAGACATACAATAAGGAAATATTAATTATTATCAATCATGGTGCAATATTCTCAGTATCCCCGTGTTTCTTGATAATTTTATTTTAATAAATAAAATACATTATTTTGTGTAGCTGCTTAAATTATAACACCGCATTTTTTTTCTTTCCACACAATAATAAATAGTCAATTATAATTTAAAAAGCACAGTTAAACATTATGTCAATAAATTGTCAATACGAGATAAGTTTCGACATCAAAATTCTAAACTTAATTTTAAACGACATATTTTTTTAGAATCATAGTAAAATTTCGAATCCATTGTTGCAGGTACCAGAATGAACTACCAAAGAAGATCAAATCGAGGGGAAAAGACGCACATATGGTACACGAGGAACTGGTACAGCTGATGAAATGGAAACAGGCGGTGAGTAACAATATCTTATTACACACCTTTCACTGTACGCACGGTAACGACGGCTGCGCTCTACGTTGGTCGGGTATAAAAACTAAATTAAATTTACTCTGTATTAAATACAGATCGTATATAGACAATTACAATATTTAGGTTTTTATTTTAATTTTGCAGATAACATCGTTATTTAAATACTGTCTATAGTTTACGCCAGTAGTACACATTTAAATAAAACACTTTAACGGTTTAAAACGCGATATATTAGTTAAACTTATTTAAAAATTATTTTTAACTTCGGCCCTCCCCCGTACCCCCTTTTAAACCGTTAAAGTGTTTTATTTAAGTCATTATTTAATTTCTACCTACTTCAAAAAATAAAACTTTATGCGAAGCGCATCAAAATCGAAACCAATTCATAAGTTACCAATGCAATATTAAATATATTATATTTATATCTATACTTACTGTAATAAGTATTATATTTTATAAAAACCGAATGACAGGTTTTATTTTCGAGTTATAGAACAATTCTTTCGTAACGTTGTTTATTATTATTATTAATTATCGACATTTAGATTCTCGTAATTCTTAACGTCATTATTTACGAAAAAATCGTTATTTCAGAGAGGAAAGTCCTATCCACAACTATCTTACCTCATAAAAGTGAACACGCCGCGAGCCGTGATGCAGGAGACGAAGAAAGCGTTCAAGAAGCTCCCGAACATCGAATCGGCAATGACTGCACTAAGTAATCTCAAGGGGGTGGGGACAGCCACTGCGTCAGCACTTCTCGCGGCCGCCAGTCCAGAAATAGCCCCCTTTATGGCCGACGAGTGCATACAAGCCATCCCCGAAATGGAGGGAAGCGACTACACTGCCAAGGAATACCTCAATTTTGTTAAATATATTAGAAACGTCTGTGATAGGTTAAATAAGGTCAGTATATCTTTGCATATTTTTCTTTGCTGTATAATGCGTTACTTTACTTCACTTAAAGAACTAATATTTGTTTAACTTGTTTTGGTGGTCTAAAAACCATGAAAACTTTTTTTTAAATCGAAAGAAATTCAAAAAATCTGACTCGGCAGGACTTGAACCGGCATTGTTAACGTTCCGTGTTGTTGCTCAACCAATTGAGCCACTGAGTCCTACACCTGCGACGAATTTTTTCAACTTATTGATACATGCACCTTTTGCGCAATTGTCTGTTTTTGCTTAAGCTGTTTCGGTATACTACCTGAAATTTATAGACTATTACTGAAATAAGTTGTGAAAACTAATATGAAAAAACTGTCTTTAATGTCTTGAAATGTACATATTATTGGTTCATAAATGGATTTTTTTTTGTAAAAATGAGTCCTCCCTTTGAAACACACTTTACAATTCACAACTCTAATCTTATATTTATTTGTCAACAGGAACAAAACGGCTGTGGTAAGAAATGGTCACCACACATGGTTGAACTGACACTATGGGCACACAACATCCTATCAGACCTTCAGCCAGAGCTTCTAGGCAAAACACCCAAACTGACTGCTCCCACGAATGGAGGTTCACCCCTACCCAGTGACGAGAGCAATCTAGAACCACCTACAAATGGTAATGGTTAGTAATCATTTATGTAATTATTTATTTAAATACAGCAATATTTAGCAGTAATTGAAATAATACTTGAATTGATTGAAGCTCAAGATTATTTTATACCTGTTAAAAGATTTATAGTTAAACTCCATCTACAAGTTGTCAATACCTTAAACATCAAATATATAGTGTATTTTTTCTAATTTGGCAAAAGACCACAACAAATATGACCAATTTCAAACCATAGAGAGTGAAAAGTTGTTGCCACAGATAACATAGTGATATTGAAATATCGATTATATATTGTTCCAACATTCAAAATGACTTGTATAACAATCTACTTTTTTGTGACTCTTCAGCAATCCTGTAAGTGTGGCACTTTTGCCTTCTATTGTCGTTGACTTTGCTTATATCCCATACTTATGTAAATATTAAAGAAAAAAAATTTTTACTCTGACCATTACTTAAATTAGTTTTTAGAACTTTAGCATAAAATTGTGGTTTTTATTAACTAAATTTGAGGTACTTCATTAGTTTAATATATAATCCAATGTCTTAAAGTGTTTTAGTGTAAATCAATGTCAACCTTGTGAGTTAAACACGGATGTCATGTAAATAGTGTTTGTTAACCAAAAATGCCAAGTTAGAAAAAATACACCATAACTGAATTTGAACTTGAACTTTCATATTATTTAAGGGGTAATTATTATTCTCTGGCTGCTTGTCATATGGATACCTGATTAAAAAGTGTTTTACAGGAAAATTATCATCAGAATGCGCAGAAGACACCACGTCATGCACAGAAGACTCCCTGGATGCGAAAGGCGCATCACCCTCAAACCCCGCCACTCCTGCGTCACCTTCAGACAACTCGGATTCAGCGTTAAGCACGCCGCGCGCCAAACGGTCAGTATTTGATGTAATTAACAAGTAAACAGCAGTTCATGCTTGTTAACAAGTTACCCCCATGCTTCTTTGTCCTCCACTATCATCTATTTTCTGTGAAAAGTTTCTTGAAAACAATGCCCGTGTCCTCGTTTGTTTTATCTGTTTATTAGCTATGCAATAAACAGAGCCGTATTCTAAAAGAGCGCCACTATTTGCCTGGTGGTGAAAGTACCGTGTCTATGCCGAATAAATATTAAGAATTCACACCGCATGCTGTGAGCCAATGTTTGATTAAAAAACGACAAACGGTGAATTGACAAATCACTAACTCACTTGACTCACGCTGATTCATTTTCATTGAAATGAATATGCAAATAACGAGAAGGCAAAATAAGATTTGCATATGTCTATTTGTTTCAAAAGCTCATTTCAGGGCACTATTTCTTCTTTTCTAAGATATACGATATAAGTACATATGTGAGTTCCTAAGAACTTTCGCATATAGACTGTTTAACAGCTTATAATTTACAACCCCATACAATCTAAAAATAACATAATTTAATTTTTATTTGCATTGCCGTTTTAGTTTTAGCATTCAAAATGAGACTATCAACCGTTTCTTATTTAAATCAAATCAAGTACTGCCTGTAGTTTACGCGAATTTTAAATTAAACACTTAATTAACAGTTTAAAACCTATTCAATTTTTAATTATCGCCTATTCATGTAGGTATACTTGTGAACAGAATCAAAAGACTATAACTTTATATTTTATACCAGAAAACAGTTGGCAAGAAAATCGCCATCACTTATACCTTAAAAACCTAATACTCTAAAAAATGAACTTTTAAATTAAAAGGTATGTATCGTTATTATAACTAAATACACTTAATAGTATACAAGTAGAAATTTACGCTTTGAGATAAATAGAAAAAAATGTTCTAAAGGACAACATAGCTTATTATACTTAGAATCTATTGTTTATTGTTCTGCGAAGGATAGGTAATAAAAAAAAAGGTTAAAGATAACGAGAGCTTAGAGGAATTCGTTTTTGCCTAATGGTTTTGTAATGAAAAAAGTAATTTTATAAATAGAGCTTTTGCTTTATTTTACTTATTCGCCATAAAGGAATGATGAATTTTAAAAACAGGATTTATAACAAGAGAATAAGGTTAAAAAGAGTTGTGTCTTAAGAATCTGTTTTTAGTGTTCCTGTGTTGTTTTGAAAAACATTTTAGGGCCATTAAATAGGAAATGTTGTGCACAATTCAATTGGTTGACTTATGATGTCACTACACTGGAATAATATTAGAAATAAATGTTTCTTTTTCCCACAGACAAATAGAAGAAGCCAGTTCAGAAGAGAACTCCCTCGGCGACGCAACAGAGGCCATCCCGCCAGCGAAGAAGCTGCGGGAGGCCACGCACTGACACCATCCCCACCGAACCCGCGCGCCTATATAAATAGCTTACTAGACTTAATATTGTACCTAGGTAATTTATTTTGAAATTCCGTTTAATTTTAACTTAGACTAAGTTTAAGATTACCGGACGATTTTTGTAAGTTTTATAGGGTATTCGATGAATCGGACGGTCGATTGTAATCGATTAATTATTAATTAACGTTTTGGACTTCGGGCGCTCTTTATTGTACAATAACGTGAGTGTATCATCAGAGCGGCTCGTTGGGCCTAGTTTAAGGTTTCGTTTGTAATGTTTTCGAATTTCAAAGCGAGAGTTCGCTACCCGCGTGACATTCCAATAATTGTAACGATAGGCGGCGAGGGGTTTAGCGGGGGGAGTAGAGAGCGATGTGGGGAGGAGGGGGAGCCGCGACAGACAGGACCAGATGCCTTGACGACACTCACTCCATTGCCTTATGAAACAGTCTGCCCGCAGAGTTTATATGCAACAAGATAATACAAAGGACGTGTTACCCGGGCGCCGGGCACACGGGCCCACAATGTAGTTTTTATTGAACAAATATAAGATATTAATTTTATAATGTCGCATTTTTATTTACACCTGTATAATTCATCTGAGCTGTCAAGTATGCTCTTCTCTCTAAGAACACTGACACTTTGTGTCCATAGTACACACAGCAGGCCGATTCTACTAATTTAATGACGTTTCGATCAATTTGCAGTCACACTGCGATTAAGTTTCGATTCAGCGCCGATGGTATTCTCTTAATTTGACAACTGCGCGTCCAATAAGGTACGCCAGCGAATTGTCAAATACGCGCTGGCGTCACGTAAATTTGACGCGAACGTGTTTGACATTAGACGAGAATACCCAAACAACAAAACGTCACTGCAACTGCGCCGCTCCTTAACTTATTACGAGAATCGGCCTGCAGCTGTGAGTGAATCAAACTAAAGTATACTGTATCTTACTTTTATTTACTTAACTTTACCCGATTTACAATATGCATGGACATATATATTTTTCTATGTAACTCAACTGGTTTTTTACTCAGTCTTTATACTCGGACTCAAACCTTTTAAAAATTAATAGTATTATACAAGTCTTTCAACACACCTATTGGTCGCATCGTGACGTTTTATAGCCTAAAGCCTTGATAAATGCACTTATCAACAGAAAAAGAATTTCTATTGAATTCGAACCATTAGTTTTTGAGATTAACGCGTTCAAACAAACAAATTCTTTAGCTTTATATATCATAGATATATAATCTTCACTTGAACGTACAAAGCTCAAATCCTAAAGCAAAGATTTTTAATTTTGTGCCTCGACGTCTTGCTGTAAATGGGAGTAAAGGGTCGCTGGTCTGCTACCGGCCGCCATTCGCCCTGCGAAGTCCGGTCTGCGTGGTGGTCTGGGTGCTCCAAGAAGTGCATCAAGGGCATTTCTAGGTGCCCATACGTCATTGCTATTTCCGTTTCCAGCTCCTACCGGGGATAATGGAGAGTCTGTGGTCGCACGGATGACAGTTGCCCTTGATGATTCACCTGGAAAATACATACGATACAATAATGTAAGATTGTCATGATAAATTAAACGTTAAATACTGTCTGTAGTTTACGCAAATACTACATACACACTTAAATAAAACACTTTAACAACTTTAATAGTCTCTCCGTGACCACAGCTGCTGTAAAGCATCCGAAACGTCGGGCCGAAGTTAAAAATCATTTCAAATAAGTTTAACTAATATATCGCGTTTTAAACCGTTAAAGTGTTTTATTTAAATGATTTATGGTTGATAATTATATTATAAGCGGTTGTTGGGTAGTTTATCAGAAGGATATTTACCCTCAAACCACATTAAGTAAGCGATGGCACGAAGTTTGTATTTAAACAGTGGGTAAATGTTAAGAAGGGAAAGAGGGCAATTGTAACTTTTAATGATTTGTACATATGATAGCAGGAATGCAACATATTATTTTATACGTAAAAACATATCAAGTGTCATATAGTTACCTTCAGCTGAGTGATTGTGTGACCGGCATTCTAGTAGAGTGCGCAATAAAGCGCGATGCGCAGGCGACGCGGAATGCGCTCGAATCAAAGCCTCTAGTTCACCCCACACTTGACGCCATTGCTCTTCTCGTCTACCACTTGATTTCCCTCTAAAAAAAGAATATATATTTTATTTATATTCATTATTATCACAACCGTTACTTATATGCATTAAGTACAGCTACGAGAGGCCAAAAGCTTTTAATACTTTGTGTTAAATTTAACGGTTTAAAATGAAAAATAAAGTTAACTATGGTCTAACGTTTCGGGTGCTTTGCAGCAGTCCTCCTGGCCAGCAAACATCCAAAACGTTGGGTCGTAGTTAAAATAATTTGTAAAAAATTACCTAATATATTTCGCGTTTTAAACCGTTAAAAGTTAGTTACTCGCGTAAAATACAGACAATATTGAATTCTTTGTGTTCCCACGATCAACACTATATTACTATTAATATACGGCGGGGTAAGTACCTAGTCTTATAATAAAATGAAATCGAACCTTAAATTAGAGGGTAGCTGCGCGGTGGGGAACTCATGGCGTGACTCCATCCCGAGAAGCGATAGCAGAACACCACGACATGAATCTACTTCGTCTTCAGTCAGAGATTCCTGCACTACCAGTCTAGTTAAGGGTTCCATTACCTAAACAAAAACACGTATCTTAAAATTATATAATACTAGCTGTGCTCGCGACTTCGTCCGTCTGATTAGGTATTTTGGGCATGATATTATTTATTTTTGCACACGACTTCCTTTATAAATACTTAATAGCTGTTACCCACACCGTCATCCGCGTCGCGTCATGTATATTATTAATGTTACATATATGAAATACCTTATGTTACGTTTAAAGTATAATTACATATCTCTCATAGCACTATTTAATTTCTAAAGACATTGAACACTACAGGGTTTTTACTATCTTGAGCATTTTAAATTACTTACAGATCCTAAATTGAATATAAGCGTCGAAGATATAGTAAGTGGCCAATATGTAGTGTGTCTTTGTAACTTGGTGCGAGCTCGTGCGTTTGCGCCGGTCCCTCTCAGTGGATGTACTTTATTTTGTTGCATAAGAGCTCCAAATTCTTTTATCCTTAACAAGAAATAAGTGCCTTTGAGCTGATAGTCAGGAATTAAAAATAAAAAAAATTAAAACGTTCTTTTTGTAAAGTTGCCATTCATTTATTACGCATAACGATTTAGTGGTGGGGGGGTGGGGGAGACTTGATAGTTCTTCTGTAATATCACATGTGCGTAAATAAATAATAATTATTATTAAGTGAGTTTTGGACTGAAACATTTCTAAAAATAGTTACACATACACATGATAAAAATTTAACAGGTCGGCCTATATTTTTCTTATAATATGGTCATACGTAATAAATGAATGGCAAATATTACAAAAAGAACAACAAGAAAAAGGAGTTTAATGTGTATTACACCCATTAAACATCCATCATGATATGAAATGTGTTCAAAAAAATATTAGTATAAATTGTTTTTTTAAACTGGCGTACCTATAATCAGTAACTCTGCCACCGGCACCTTCAGACAGTGCTGGTGGATCATCATACGGGGTCCTACCCCCCAAAGCACCGATCCATAGTTCACCTCCTTGTGCCGCTAGCACGTGAGACGCTGATCTGCAGCCAGCTTTTCTTCTAGAAATTAGCGTGTATTATAACTAGACAACAAATTAAACAGAAGTTTCGGAAATGGAGCGGGCACTTTTGTATCCTCTACAAACAGAGTAGCCTAACTGTAATTTTATGACTTGAGTTATTTATATTTTTATGGTCTAATAACAAGAGCACAGTGACCAAAATTGTTAACATAATTCTTACACAAATAGTACAAACGCATTTTCGCCTAGGTTAATTGTGCATTAGATACCTATTATTTTCCTTCTTATTGAAAATCAGGTTTATTGTTATTAGGCCACTCTGCCTCTAGCAGCCTCATTTGTGTATTTATCTTACTGACTTATATTGTACAAATATACTTGGGGACTTAGGTCCGACTTATACGATTAAATGCAGCCTATTTTTAAGTTAGTTCTATTCAATTATAATGTAGAGAGAGAAAGAGACAGAATCCAATAAAACTTACGTGGGCACCTCAAGAGTGACAGACCGTCCATTAAGCAAGAAGTTAACGAGACACGCAGAGGGACGTGACGCTACGTCAGCTGGCGTGACACGCCACAGAGGCCCGTTGCAACCGCCCGCGCCGCCCTCCGCACCGCGCGGAGTCCACCAGCGCAGTACCACCTTTATATCACAAATGATCATCATTCTTCCTTTTTTCCTTACTTCCAAAGTTACGTTTGAGGTAATTTTGTTAGCATTTAAATGCACAGATGAAATTAAAAAAATCAAATAATCTAGACTATAATTCTCAACTAAGAGCTTAAGAACTTGAGCTATGAATGACTTTAATCCATGCTTGATGTGATCTATTAAAACATATGCAACTTTATTAAGAAAAATCCTGTGGCTAGTGAAATATAACCTAAATACTAAATTACTTTGAACATACTGATTCATTAGCTTCAGCGGCCGTCTGTGAAGCCCTTAATCCAGCGTGTGCTTCAGCGGAATGTATAATATCTACATCGTAATTCGCACTAGAACTTGCATTTTGTTCCTCCTGTAAATGACATAATTATTTATTAGTCCTTTAGTTAGTAATAATTTTTCTATAATGATTTATAGAAATAAAATATTTTGTATGAGCCATATGGCATATAATGGTGACTTTGAGTGATTTTTAAATGCATTGTGCATTTAAACTCACAATTCTATAAGGATTAACAAGGATAAGGACGAGACAGTGACCCTTAAGGCAATAAATTAAAAGTGGTAGAAAAGCTTTTAAATAAAAAACCTATAAGCAAAACTTCTACATCTCATTTTAACAATACCATTTGGATTATATAATAAGCCATCTAACCATATTATTATCTTTACCTTCATAGGAATCCCAGTAACAGTGGTTACTGCAAGTCTGTAGTGAGGTAGAACTAACTTTCCTAATAGATTAGCTAAAGAACTTGCTCTACATACTATAACTTCAACTCCCATCAGTCCTCCTCCCATCTAGAATTAAAAAACTAATGGTTAAGTATCTTTCCATTAACTTAAGCTAAAATTTATATACAATCACTAAATTATAATATACAATACTTAACAATTAATTTCTCTATTGATCTAGTAACCTGGTAAAAACATAAATATTATTTGTGTTAAAGAATTATTTGTTATCTAGCCAATTTTATATTTACCTCAGTTAATGGTTGGTTATTGACTCTTGTTTCTGCTTTTTCTGGTGTAACGTTTATTATAACTAAGTGACAGTAGTGGACAACCAGAGACCTATAGAAATAAGGACAATTAAACATATATTTTTTTAATGATAGCGGACAGACAAGCATCTACACATGATGCACTGTCAACCTGGTTTTGGCATTGGATATATAATTAGGACAAAAGCGGGTATTCAACACATACATACAAATTAAACTGCAGTAAGAATGCTAGCTATAATTTATATTATATGTCAATGAAATTAAATCATAAAACCCATAATACACCTATTTTCACAATAGTTAGAAACCCAAAGCATTATTTACTTTCTCTTTTCTCAACTTTATGTTTTTGAATTAGTTGCGTGCGAGTAAAGGACTAGAGAAAGCTTGAATGCTTGGGATGTTTTTTTGATGTGCTTGTTGGTCTAATAGCATCAATTTATAGCTATTAAGCTATCGAGAGGATGTGGGTTCAATTCCCACTAGGTCAAACAAATTTTATAAATAATAAATCATTTTTCTTCAGTTCTTTTTTTTCTTTTGACTTCCTATGAAAAATTAGACATTAAAAGGGTGGTGGAATTCTGAAATTTCATCTGGGTCACAAGTGAGTTTTGTTTTCAATGCTTCCAAATACCTAAAAGCAAAATGACAGCACATCTGGGATGGATATATGGACATTCACCTTCCATTGCATGAACAAAAAAGGGAGTTTACATACTGTGTACTTGTTGATGCATCTGTTGTGGTAGGAGGTTGTATAGCAGATGCCTTCTTATTTTGTTGGACCAAAGTATTCATTGCAATCTCAGCAAGGCTCCTGATTGAATCATCATCTCTTGCACTTGTTATGCATATAATACGTCCCCTGGAATTGTAATCATAAATATTATAATATTCCTTATCTGTGTATCATATTAAAATATTATTGTCAGTTTTTTTAATTTACCGATTTTGAAAATGACTTTCTGTAGGGGGTCGAGATGATTGTGTTGGAGATGGCTCAGCTAGGGACTCTATAGCAGCACAGAGACCAACAACATCTCCACCTGCGCCTCTTCTAACAGGACCTACTAGGCACAATCCATTTAGAATCTGCAAAGTTATTGTAATTGATTAGGCTTTACCTTAAGGGGAAGTGTGTAAAATGGTCATCAAATGTGGATTGACATGGAATCCTTGTTTATAGATAAACTTACATGAGTTAAATTTTGTTGTGCTACAGCCCATGTATTTAAAATATGAGCAGCAGCGTCACTTACTATGAATCTTACCTGAAATTATGAGAATATATTTGAATATTGTAAAAATATCTTAACCTCACATAACCTTATTTATATACAAACCAATTTTCCTTCCGGAAACAAGTCCCATACAACACGACAGTACTCGACAGCCGCTTCTACACTGCACGTCCATAAAGATTTGCAAATTGGAGGTAATGGTACATACCCAGGACCTCTACTTTTCGACACATCGAAATCTATCGGATAATCCGAAGAAATACCAAAGTAAGGGGTATGATCCAATACGAAAATCGTTTTATGATTAGTGGGAAACATTGTAATTTATTCAGTGAATTTCAGGCATTGTTATTGCTATACAAAATTATTGCCGATTTGTTTTCTATTCACAACAAAACTATTCGACATTTATGTATTTATTTTTCATCTCAATTGATTAGCTAATTGTCAAATGTAATCTGTCATAAAATAATGTCAAGGATTTACAGAAAATTTTAAAAATTAAAAAAATCCACCACGATTTTTTTTAAATTATAATGAACTGAAGGAAAAAACTTTTGGCTTTAACGAAACTTTAAATGTTATAATAATAAGAAATAATAGTATTCGATAATACAATGTCTGTGGACAGTCGCAATTACGATAAAAATTGTGTATTCCAAAAATTGTACTACGAAAATTATCTACTGTATTAATTATCATTAGAGCTGAAAGGATATATTAAAATAAAGTAGAATATACATTAATAATATAAGGTATATTTAAATTTATTATAACCGAAAAACCGGTAACAAAAATCGAAACTATGTGTTAAATCACTACAGTGAATGTGAAAGAATGATAAAATGGTGCATTCGTCGATCAAACCGGGCCACACATTTGAAGCTAGAAATTAAATTAGACATCCACCATTTTGTTTATATTCACGAAATCACTTTGTAAGTGTATTGACCGACTGTGAAAATTTTCCTTTCTCCGTGTGTATAAGTGAATAACTTAATTGGGCCATGCTTATTACATTACGAATGTGCTATTAGCGTACTGCCGTCGAGCCCTTGTGTTAAAAATTGCAGACATCGGCCGCGCCGCTAGTAAACATTCTTTGAAAATTAACATCTTATCTTCGAAGAAAAATAAAAACTCGGATGCGCAAAGTGCTCGTGTAGATGAGAAGGGTCCGCTGAAGTTCGTTCAACGCATATTTAATAAGTCCAAAGGGAGTAATCCCCTTGCATTAAAGGTGAGTAAAGTGACAATATCTGTGTGCAAAATCTCAAGAGCTATTGTATTGAGTGTGGATTTGGTTTAGGAGATATCGAAAAGTTGTGGGCGATTGTCTCCGGTGGCGCGCCCGGCTAACATGAATCACACGCCTGCACCTGACAGGCAGCAGCACGATACAAATGTGAAGGTTGAAGAGATGGAAACACAAGAAGGTCAGTCACCTATTATTTTCCTCAAAACACTTGACTTTCTCAAACATATTACTTACTTTGTGTACAGATCATATGATTGCCAAGTGTTGTATAATTCAAAATCATTGTTCTTTTGTTGTCTCATGCTACTTAGAAAATATTTATGTAGCATTGAGTTGACTATTGATTATTTCTGCTGAGCTTTACATAACCTCAATTAAAGTCATTCATTTGCATTTTCATATTAATCTATAGTGAACAACACTTAATTACATTCAATTTTCATTACTTTTTGTCTCAAACTGCTGAAGTGCACTAAGTCTAAAATTAGAATTGCTTTGTTTGGTGTTTATTTTTTTATCTACTTACATATATCCATAAAGATACAGTAATTTATGACTAAGCATAATCTACATTGAGAATGTTGACATTAATTAGTGGCACCAACAATTAAGTCTTAACAAGTACTTTGACTATAATTCTCAGTTCTCTTAATCTTGTAAATTGTAAACAGTCTCCAGATAGACAATATAATAAACATTACTGTTATCTATATATGATAAAGAATCACATGGTTGATTTTGAAAAATATATCTGATAGTTGTCTATTGTTCGATAATTTACAGTATACATTATATCATGCTCTAAAATAAGAATAGAAAATAGGTATTGTAATCTCTTTTTATTAAATATACATGGTATAAGATAATCACTATAATGGTATTCTTATATCTTCAGGAATTATTTTGTAATTTTTTTTATTTTAAAGAAGCTTTACTGGCCACTTATGTTTTACAACAATAAACAAATGTCATACAATTATAGATGTGTCAATTATTTAAGCATTATATAAATTAGTGGAAGAAGAAAGTAAATATTCTGTCCTTTGCTGATAAAAAGGCTTAACAGTTTTAATTTAAAATCTTTTTTGTAAAATTTCAGTGGAAACTGTAGAGACAGCTACAGAAAAGACTTGGGATGATGACTTAATGAGGGGACGTATCACACCTAATGGTGGTGTTGTGATGACTGATGTCATGAAGAATCAAGAGACGGCTTCTGAAATGCCTGTAAATATAATTTACTCTTATGACTTCCTTAGTTCTTGAAAATGACTTACAACCATTAATATAAATATTCATGCATGTTGTTGTATATACACTTTTAAGACTAAAGCCACCACAAGGAAAGTCGAAGCTAGTACACTGCGCCAAAATTAATTGGGGTATTTTCCTCTTTTTATTAAATAGCTATAGGGGTTTAAGTAATTTGTAGTCCTGTTAGTGGAAAAAGATAAAAAGTTATTACTAAAACCAACATCTTTGACATTAAGTGTAATTTCAACCTGTATGTTCATGGGAGGACTAATCCCAGAAGAAGACTTATTTCTCGTAGTAAATAAGCCTTCTTCTGGCTGATTATAATCTCTTATAAAATCTGTTTCTAGCAACTAGCGTGTGTTGATGCCGAAATGGAGGACGATGAAGCACGCTCAGAAGCTACCTTCCGTTACACGGTACACAATTTCAAGAGTCTCAGGGATTCTGTGCTGTCCCCTCCTTGCTACGTTCGCAACTTGCCATGGAAGATTATGGTGATGCCTAGACAGGCTCCGTCCCCCGACCGTCAGCAACAGAAGTCTTTGGGGTTCTTCTTGCAGTGTAATGGAGAAAGTGAATCCTCGGCGTGGTCATGTTATGCCATGGCTGAGTTGAGGCTTATCTCTCACAAGCCAGAAACAGATCCTTTTCATAGAAAGATTCAGCATTTATTTTATAGGTAAGTACCACAACAAGTGTCCTTTATATTTAATGTGTGTTGTACTGATAATGTAGCATTATACTTTCTTCCGTATTGCAGTTCCCAAAATAAGTATAGTTAACAAAGAGTGATAAAGTATTTAGTCTTGGTTCTATCAAAGTGTATATGAATTGGATAATCTTTTCAGCAAAGAGAACGATTGGGGTTTCTCTCACTTCATGTCTTGGAATGATGTGTTAGATCCTGAGAAGGGCTACATCAAAGATGATGCAATTACTTTGGAAGTGCATGTAACCGCAGAGGCACCGCATGGTGTGTCTTGGGATTCTAAGAAGCACACTGGCTATGTTGGTAAGAATTATTGTTATCTGTTTGTGTACCAGATATTTAGTTATATGTACAAGTTTTGAGTGCCCAAATACAAAATAGGTTTACAGTGCATATTAATTCAATATTGTTTGACTGGGCAGTAAAAGAAGTAAAGATTATACATATAATACAATTTTGCTAAGGTAACAGAAGGTTTGAAGGGTTACCCTGATGCCTGAACTTGAGAGATAACTCAATATTCTCCATAAAAGGGGTAATAAGCAAAATAGTTAGCAGATACAGTGGACAGATCAACCAGTCTACTTTCGATGTCTACAATAGAAAATTATAATAAGAATGGCTGGGAATTTTATTTTCCATCTAATGAACAATGGTCCAAGGGCAGGAAATAAGACCATTTATGTTTTTCTTGCATATTCTAATAAAGATATAAATAAACTTAACCATTGAGTTTATCTAAATACGGCATTACCTAAACATTTCATGAATCATGAAAAAGATAGCATTTTATCTACTGAGATAACTGCCCTTTTAGATTGACAACTGAATTATTTATATGACTTTTTGTTGTGCTACGACAGATATTTAGGCATACAATTTGAAGATTTGTGAATTTGAGTATTTTCCACATTTCATATTTTCTTTTCAGGCCTGAAGAATCAAGGCGCGACATGTTATATGAATTCTCTCCTGCAGACCTTATACTTTACTAATCAATTAAGAAAGGCTGTATACAAAATGCCTACTGAGTCTGATGACAGCACTAGGTAATATAATTTAAACAGTTTTGATGGGATTGTTGGTCTAATGGTAGCAATGTATGATTATCAACGGGTTAGATTGCTACCAGGTCAAATTTTTCAATTTATAATTTTTCTAAAACATGTAGGACATTGTCTGAAAATCTGTATATAAAATGGGTGGTAGGAATATAGAAATTCAAAATGGTCGAAAGCACATTTTATTTAGTTGCTATGCTATATATCACCTACCATCAAGTCAACCCTGTGCTTGTCTATGGAGGATATATCATTTTACAAAACAGTTTTTATATTTATTTACTATTGATTTGTTGTTTCTAGGTCTGTGGCATTAGCACTTCAGCGAGTGTTCTTTGAGCTACAGTTCTCTGATAAACCAGTGGGCACCAAAAAGTTAACTAAAAGCTTCGGTTGGGAGACACTTGATTCTTTTATGCAGCATGATGTACAGGAATTTCTTAGGGTATATTTTCATTATTCTGTTATAAAACAATATTTGTCTAAGCTATATATGATAAAAAAAGCCTCATCGGTAGCTGTTCATAAAATATAAGTAAACATATGCAGACACTACATTTTGACAGGCTTTGAGAGTATGTTAAGCCTACAGTACAGGTTATCATGACTTATTTAATGGCGGTAGTTGTTAAAGCCCACTAAGGTGCACTAGTTTTTTGTGGGTCGAGGCTCGAGTATCTCTTGTATGGAAGAGTAGACCTATTTCCCAGCTGTGGGATAATAATAACATGAACATATTGATACATATAGAACGTTATATCTATAGTACTTAACGTTGTTGTTTACTAAGTTTTAAATAATATTTAAGTTTTTTTTTTTAATTTTCTTTTGATTAGAATCATATAGATACAAAAAACATTCACATACAGTTAGACCTTTTAAAAACATTTTCCAGTAAAATGTTAAATTTTTTAAATTCTAGGTATTATTGGATAAATTGGAAAGTAAGATGAAAGGAACATGTGTAGAGGGGACCGTCCCACGATTGTTTGAGGGCAAAATGACGTCTTACATCAAGTGCAAGAACGTTAATGTATCTAGTACAAGGGTTGAGACGTTCTATGACATCCAGCTTAATATCAAGGGCAAAAAGAATAGTAAGTATATTTTTAAATAAGCCAGGCAATGTTGCTTAATTAAATTAAATATTTCAAATTTTATTTGAATTCCGTGCAGAAATGGTATATCCGGTTATAGTAAAACCATTTAATATATTTTTTATTGCATTAGTAAAACATTATATAGTTTAGTTATCTTACTAAACTATAGAGTTCAGCTGCTTATGAAGAAATGAATTATAAAAAAACCTTATCATTGTTATAACATACAAATTCATCATTAAAAAAAAAATATTGTTTACATATCGCGTTAGGTTTGTACTAGCTCCCACACTAGGATTGCCTACATTATTTATTATAATTGGTAACATACAGTAATTTATCTTACGAATATAGGATACATTTTGTATAATTTATTAACTAAAAGAAGATTTTCCGTTTCTAAATAATTTAAACGAAAAACCTTTCATTTGAGATACTGAGGGGTTATTATATTTTAATTATTTAATAAGTTGAGAAGGAGACCTAAAAAGCAAATGAAATGTTTGCGCAAACGATGGGTGTTTAAAAGGTGTTCGTAAGAATACTTTGCTGTAAAAACAAATTAGGAGTAATTCTTCAATCTTTGATTTAAATGTAAAATCAATACTAACATACCTTTTTTTACAGTTGACGAATCGTTCAAAGATTACATAAATACGGAGACGTTAGACGGAGAGAATAAGTATGACGCTGGTGAACACGGTTTGCAGGAAGCTGAAAAGGGAGTGATCTTCGCGACCTTCCCGCCCGTGCTGCATCTTCATCTCATGAGGTTCCAGTATGACCCGATCACTGACAGCTCTGTCAAGTTTAATGACAGGTGAGATCTGGTTTACGTGCATAATTTGACGTTTTACTTTACAGAGAATGAATAAATCATTTCAGGTAATTTTTTTTGATTCTGATCTCTTTCATCATGCAAGGTAGCTGATGATAACAAATTAAAAATAAATGTTTATAATAATAATAATAATAATAATAATTTATTTGTCAGACCATAGATCCATACATTATTTTAAAATAATACATAATTAATTAATTCTAATGTGCGTTAGTTGGGTTAGTAACAATTTTTAACTTAAAATGTATATTAGAATGTGTTAGTCACTAAAATTAAATAGACAGAATACATAGAATAGGTGCTAGGCGCTAAGGGGGAGCATGGACGTCACTCCATCGTTTTAGCAGCACCGTATACTTTTCACACAATGCCCCCAGAATGCCATTGGTGCTTTGTCGAACCCGATACATGAGGGAAGCTACACGCTTGCGGATGATGGCGTGGAAACCATCTGTACGTGCATCCGCAAACATGCCCGACGCACTACAGTATCTTGGCAAGCCCAATAACAACCTGAAAACATTGTTGTATTGCACACGAATAGCATGCAGTGCTCTCTGTGTAAAGGAGGCCCATAAGCTGCACGAGTAGAATGATTGGCAATAAGCCTTAAATAAGACGATTTTGACATCGTTTGAGCTTCGTGCAAACCTACGGGCCAACATGTTACCCCTTACCGCCATAGCCCTCCTTTCTCTCTCCAGGTCAGCTCCATCCGAAAGGTCCTCCGTGACACAATGACCTAAGTACTTATACTCAGTTACTCGTTGTAGTGGTACACCTTTGAGCATTATTGCAGGAACTACGCCTATCTTATCACCTCGCGATTGAAAAACGAGTAACTTACTTTTGGCTGTATTGTAGCTGAGGCCATGAGCATCAGCAAAGTCTTCACAGATTTTTAAGAGCTTTCGGATGGCGCTCACCGAGGGAGCTAGCAACACCATATCATCAGCATAATTAATGTTGTTCACACTTATTCCATCTATTGAGCAGCCTACACCACTGCTCCTAAGACGCTCTATGAGGTCATTGACGTATAGGTTGAAAAGACAGGTAGATGTAACCCCCCCCCTGCCTTACCCCACACTTTAGCCCATACGTCTCAGACTCCACATTACTCCATCTTACACAATTCTCCTGATTGGAGTACCAATAATCAAAAACTCCTACAACTTCCTCTGAAACCCTTGTCTTCGTTCTTAATTTGTGCATAAGAAGGTCATAAGAAATTGTATCAAACGCCCTGGACATATCTAAAAAACACGCAAAGACCGAGGTGCTTTTGGCGGTGTAGTACTGGACCGTCTGCTTAAGACAGAATATTGCACTTTCCGTGGACAAGCCCGGCCTGAAACCGAACTGTGCGTCATCTAGATCTACGTGTTTGCAAAGGTGGTCATTTAGCAGACTGTCCAGCACCTTCGCGACTATCGTAGCTAATGAGATAGGCCTGTAATTATCTATTTGCGAAAGATCTCCCGTTTTATTTTTGATTACTGGTACAACAATGGTCTTCATACATGCCGCTGGAAGATATGAATGCCTTATACAAAACGTGTAAAACATTGATAACACTCTAGGCAGGTGCTCACCAGCATGCACCAGATGCTCGATACTGAGTCCATCGTGTCCCGGAGATTTACCCCTATTTATTCGTTTTAAACATGAAGCTACCTCTCTCGAACTGAACCCCAGAGGGCTAGAAATAGCGCGACAGGCCTCAGCAGTGAGCACCGACGCCGAAGATGCAGGTGGCGGCTCGACTCTAAAATGCTCTTTAAATAAGTTTGCTATTTGTTCCGGTTCTGAGACACCACCCACACTCTGGGGAACACTAGCCCTATAGTTCAGCTTATTTGTACATTTCCAGAATTGCCTGAAGTTCTTGTTTGTATTGTGGGAGGCAAGAATATCCATCCTTATCCGATCTGCGTTATTTTGACACCATTTCAACTTGGCTTTAAATAAACGCCGCGTTTTCGTCATGTTATCATAAAGAGGACCCGCGGTTGGACGCCCGTGCGCCTTCCAATAAAGAAAATGATGCCGTGCCTCTTTATGCAACGGATAAACATGCCTATTCCACCCCACCACAGTTTTCTTACCCTTATTTACAGTACTTTTATAATAATATGTGCTTTCTGCTGCCGCCGATAGAATGTCTATAATATGCGCATACAAATTATCTATAGTATTTCTATGTAAAATATTGCTACACATTTGGTCACAACAACCACTCAATTCATTCGGGAAGCTAACATCTTTCAACTTAGCACTACATAAAGCGCGATAGCGATCGATTTGCTCACTGTTACGCTCACCCCAGCGAATCTTATGCTTATTTCGATCTACCTCAACCGATCCCGAACACAAAACACCAATATTACAGTTTATTAGTAGTGGTAAATGGTCAGACCACGAGGAGTCGTAGAGTATGTTAACACTTGAAATCGCATTGTAGGCCGCCTCCGTAACGATGCAGTGGTCGAGCCATCGGTGACTTCCATTAGCGTCGCTTATAAAAGTAAAATTATCGGACGCAATGCCTAAGAACTCCATGTCCGCACAGCGCCACCGTTGCTCACTACAGAAGTGCGACAGCTCCTTGCCAAAGTGAGCATCAGGGTGGGCATTAAAGTCCCCTAAAATAAAAGCACTCGCGACGTTAGAGCTCTCAACAATAGCATTTATTTCGGCCAGACACTCCGTAAATTCAGGCAGATTTATGAACACGCTTGTTCTATGGATGCATAGTAGTATGTATGGCTAATCAACGAAGGATTGCCTGTTTGATTTCCATCAGGTCCAACATGATTGTGAATTGTTTGCTGATTCTATTAAACATTTTACTGTCTGGGAAAGCTGGATATAAAAGTGATGGGGATGAACTAGTGATTTCTTTATGCCTAAGTCAAAATCGGATGGAAGTGCATCTTCATAGATTAAAGATATAAAGCTCAAATGGATCTCCATATTTCTGTGTAAAAAAAAAACAATTTATCTACAGTTATTCTTTTTAACTAAAATATGTTTTCATCCTTACATAAAACATTTTTTTATAAAAGTTGTTGAACTCTTTTGGAAAGAAAGAAACATCACGGTGTATTTCCGTATTATCCATTGATGTACCCATCACTGTTCGTACTGGGTATGGTGGGTTATACGGAGCTTAGAGTGAGAAGGGAGTTGTCTATTGCAGCATATGTTATAAGGGTATTGCGGGGAAAAGAAACAAATATGCTAATGCTGCAAAGAATTAGTTTGTTAGTACCTGATCAGTACATACATGAAAGGCATCGCCCAAGTCTTATAAAAGTAGCAAAAAGACATTTTCTATGATGCATAGAGTGAGCTCGTAATGCGTTTACAGTTTATGATTTCATATAGGTTATAAACTAATAAAGTGTTCATTAATAATAGTAAACTAAGGATATTAGTTAATAGTTAATTATAAGTCATAGTTTAATTGTATTCTATATTTAGTTATGTTAGTTTTTAGGTTCAGTGTCTAATTGGGCTCCCACCTGTCATGACATGAATTTTATTGATTATATAAATAAATGAATAAATCACCACATAACAACAAAATTAGCACATAAAATTATATATATTTTTTTCTTTCCATTTAATTATGGGGTGACTATACTATTTTAAAGTATTTGTGTACAGATTTGAATTCTACGAGCACATCAACTTAGATGCCTACTTACAAGACAAACCCGAAACTCCTGCGGACTACACTCTGCATGCTGTGCTGGTCCACTCTGGTGACAACCATGGAGGGCATTACGTTGTATTTATCAATCCTAAAGGGGATGGCAAGGTGCTCTATTGTTTTAATTTTGATATTTTTAACTATTTTAAATTAAACACTTTTCACTGTTTAAAACGCGGAATTTATTAGATAGATTTGAATACTTTGCAGCTGACACGTTAAAATATGAAATTATATAAAACATAAAGTATAATGCCAGAGACGATTATTATTTTAATAAACTCTTAGGCTTATTGCAGACTAGAGTAACAATATTACTAAAAATAAAAAAAAAACACTTTTAACCGTTTTAAACGCGAAACATATAAGCTAAATTATTAAAGCTATGTATTAAACATATAAGATAAATGTATTTTATGTAAGACTACACGTTTTGGACGCTTTGCAGCAGTCGTGGTCACCGAGGAATTAAAGATGTAGGGTGTCCTTAATCCCGACCCATAATTAAGTATTATATTTCGCAATTTTTAACCGTTAAAATCATTCTAATGTGTACACCTCGCCTGAACTATATTATATTTTACTTAAAACTTCATTCTTTAACCTTTGATGCTAGTAAAATTGGGTAAATATACCTTAAATATTTATAATGTATAATAGATTTAACTAAGTGACATATGTATTACAGTGGTGTAAATTCGATGACGACGTCGTCTCCCGATGCACAAAGCAGGAAGCCATAGAGTACAACTATGGTGGGCACGACGAGGACATGGCGCTGACTGTTAGGCACTGCACTAACGCGTACATGTTGGTCTATATCAGGTGGGTTTCAATTATTCTTTTAACCGTAAAAAAAAAATCTTGTGTACATTTACTTGAAAGTATTATTTTATTATAGGCAGTAAGTAATATACACTTTTTTACGTAATATACACATGGCTGGTATTTAATGGAACACATGAACCGTGGGTGGTTGGACCGGCACGCTCGGCACCGGATCGCTGTAAATGCAGGTTTAAGTAACGCCTGTGTCGTCAATCTAAATAAAACGTACTAATTATAAGCTTTAAAACATATATTATGTATTCTTAGGTGTTAATATTCCATAACTAAATGGTTATTTAGATTTCGGTTGGGCAGGGCACGAAGTCTGATCAACTACTTACTGAAACTGACACAGAAATGTGTCCGCCTTATGCCCCACGAGAGGAATCAACATTTCTGTGAAATGTATTATAATTATTATGCCATTCTGTAATTGACCTCTTAGCAGTACAATAAGTCAAAAGATTATTTTGATAGTAACATGTATGTAACAAATTACTATAAAAAATGTTATAGGGACTCTCAGCTTAAAACAGTGCTTCAAGAGGTAACACAAGCAGACATCCCGACAGAACTTAGCGAGAGATTGGCCGAAGAGAAGAGAATTGAAACGGTAAAACATTCTTTCAAGTGATTACTAGCACTGGGTAACACTGTGCTGAATTCAAATGCTAAATTTCAGATTCGACGTAAGGAACGCAACGAAGCTCACCTCTACATGAACGTGAATGTTGTATTGGAGGAGGCGTTTGACGGTCACCAGGGCAACGACCTCTACGACCCCGAGCGTGCCCACTACAGGGTGTTCCGTGTGAGAAAGCAAGCGACGGTGGCTGAATTGATGGAGATGTTGGCTGAGAGCTTCCGTTACCCGCAGAAACATCTGCGACCGTGGCCGTTTAGTGCGCGTTCCAACCAGGTAAAAATAATTGTTTTATTTAAATAAAGTCCACCGCAGTGTTGGGTATATAAGTGAAATGGTTACCAGATAATGTGGACTGATCCCACCTAGCCTTCTATCAGTGTCCCCAATAGAAAATAATAACCAGGTCTGGTCTGATGATAAATGTGTTTGAGTAATGTTTAAAAATTGTACAGTTTTCACATATATTATATATATATGTAATATGTTTTTTTTATATTTATACAAAATATAACGGATAGGAGACTTTTTTCCAAATTACAGTAAAAGGTTTTAACTATTTGTTGCTCTCGATAATTAAAACACGATTTAAAACGCGAAATATATAACTATATATTTACAATTGATTTCGACTGCGGACGTTTGAATGCATTACAGCAGCCGTGGTTAACTAATAAGCTAACTCACAAATTTCGCGTTTTAAACCGTTAAGTGTTCAAATATCTCACTGGTTTGTTATGTTTTTATACAGGAAAATTTGGACTAGATTTTTTTCATCACGCCTCTGTAGCCAAATGGTTAAACATATTGCCTAGCATTGCGCGAGACGTTCCTGGGTTCGAATCCCAAGGAAACATAAAATTGTTTCGGTCGGGCAGGGCACAGAAGTCCGATCAACTACTTGCCCGTTAAAAGGATTGATCAGTGAAACGGACATACAAATGTGTTCACCCCACGAGAGGGAAACCAAAAAAAAACCTTTTTCATTCAACGAGAATAAGAACTTGTCGGTGCTCTTTTATCCATGAAAATTATTAAAACATATCACATTATAACAAAAGTTACCTCTTTCTCCAGACTTGCAGACCAACATGTCTAGACGTGGTGAACGACCAGAGCAAAACCATAGCAGATATCTCCGAGAATATGAACCCGTGGAACATCTTCCTGGAGATGCTACCACCTGACTCAGGCTTCGCCACCCTGCCCCCCTTCGACAAGGACAACGACGTAGTGCTGTTCTTCAAGTATTACGATCCGAAGCAGAAGCGTATACACTACTGCGGACACCATTACTTGCCCATTGCGAGTAAACCCGCTGATCTCATACCAATACTCAATAAGCGCGCTGGTGAGGACTATTTCTAATATGAGTACAATAATTTATGACACATTGAAATTAAACACTTTTTGTCTAATGATAGTAGAATACAGACATGGCATGGGGCTCCCTTGATGGTAGGTGAAATATTTTTGCGGATTTATTATTATTTTTTCGGATACTCGGAAATCCAGATTGAAACCGAATCGCTATTAAGCTTCACGGCTTTTTTATCTGTGGTTCGTGGCCCGGACGGAATTTCTATATTCCTACCACCCAATTACCATATCCAGATTTCCAAACGAAGTCCAGCATGTTTCAGAAAAAATAAATTGAAAAATTATAAACATGATGGACCTGGTACCTGGTGGGGATCGCTCCCACTTGACCACCCGTTGATCATTGCCATACATTACTACCATTAGACAGACCATCGTCACGAAATATAAAACTTTCTTTTGATTTATTATAATATCAATCAATCAAACGAAAGTTACTAACTTTGCGTTTTCAACAGTTTAAAGTTTAACTTTTAACGATTAGAAACGAGAACAACGGGGGGGGGGGAGTACACCATTTTGAGTCCCCCTTTGACCATTGCTATTGCAAAGCATACAATGGTCTAAATTAAAAGTTTACTGATATATTTCGCTGTCTAAAGCGTGTCAAATGTTTTCTATTCGTGATATTGAACTATTTCGATTAATAGGAGGGAATAGTTTTTGTAAGGCTAATAAGGTTTGATTGTTAGCATTGTAAGTGAAAATATCTCAGGCTTAATCTACTATTGGTTTGATTTGCTAATTCTATCACTGTTTTAAAGGTTTAAAGGTAGGTTACCTCTAACTACGGTACTATTAATAATATAAACAGCCTGTTGTGTACTTCAAAGCTGTAGAAATAAAAAAACAAAGTAAGGTTTCCTTTATCTGTTTCGTACTATCAAAATTTTAAAGGTTAACATTTATTTTCTAGGGTTCCCACCGGACACGCCTCTCGTACTTTATGAAGAGATTAAACCCGACTTCGTTGAGAAGATCAACAATTACAATGATCCGCTCGAAAAGGTATTATTTATCAGTTTTTCCCTGTCAGACTATTCCTTAATTGTAAGGTTGCAATGTCTCGAGATAAACAGGTTTAATTATTATCTGTGGTTAAAATGCTTCAAATTTCAAATATTGTACTTTAATTTCACATTTGCAATAAATATGTACAAGCTGCTCGATGATTCAGGTATTTGTGGTATTATGTTGTTTATCAAATTCCAATTAAACATTCTTCACCAACTATGTTTTATCTCGTTTACACAAATGTCGGATGCCCCGTAATAGACAGAGACAGTACTATTGTTCAGACTTTGAAAGAACTCAATCGTCAAGTCATAGGTTTCCTGCGCCTATCTCGCTTATACTAAGTAGCTTATCCAAATATCTATCTCTATCGATGTATAATACGCGAGCGAGACACGGCGCACGCGCCTGTCTCCGCTCGGATTGAGTCGTGTGCACGCGGCCAGGTATTGGATGAGCTGATGGACGGTGACATCATCGTGTTTGAGCGGGCCGACAACCGGCACGAGGACCTCGAGCTGCCAACCTGCCAGGACTACTTCAAGTATATCTTCTACAAGGTGGAGGTGCAGTTCGTGGACAAGACGGTGCCCAATGACCCTGGGTGAGCGTTCCATCCCCCTATTCAAAGTAGATTCTCAATTTTCAATATTTTAAACACCCACCATCTTTAGTCTCCCCGTATAATAAAGTAATATAGTTCGCGTTTTAAACCGTTCAGTGTTTTATTTAAATGTTTAAACCTAATTCATTTTTTCCTTCTAAAACATGGTATTAAATGTATGTTTTTTAAGGAGTCCAATTGTAGTATTTCTTGAGTTACGTATTATTTATATATATATATCATATCAATAATTTGTCCCTTTTCAGGTTTACAATGGAACTCTCCATGCAGATGCGCTACGACCAAATGGCGCGCGCAGTTGGTCAGCGCCTCAATGTTGACCCTTACCTCATACAGTTCTTCAAATGTCAAAAGTTTGTTCTTTTACTTATTTCTTAGATCAATGAGATGTTTCGACTTGCAAATTCAAGGATTCTACAATATTCTTCTTTGTTTTTTATTGAAGCAGGAAAGCATTAAAAAGTCTTTACAATAGAAGACTTTGTAGGTTTAGTAGTCAGTATTAATGTGTAAAAAGATGTTTCTTAAATCCTATATTAGTAACCAGATACGGCACATACTATAATTGGTTTTTCAAGACAATGTCTTTAGTTAACTACTATATAATTATTATAAATGTTCGTAATTTTTTTCAGTTACAAGGATACACCAGGTCTACCGCTAAGGTATTCCTACGATGGGATCTTGAAAGACTTGCTGGTGTACTGCAAACCAAAGTGTCCTAAGAAATTGTTCTATCAAATTTTATCTATTAAAGTTAACGAATTGGACAACAAAAAACAATTCAAATGTTTATGGGTGAGTTATGTTTATGCCTCTGTCTAGTTCATGACCGAAGAATGTGGAGTAGTAGAAAGAGAGAGGTAGTGTTTGTTTATCATGAGGTGTATAATTGTTTCGAGATCAAATTAGTTTGTTTTATGTTTTATTAATTACTAGCGGCCCTGTCCTGGCTTCGCACGGGCAGACATAAATAAGTACAGATATTAAAATTATAAGTACGCTAACTAAAACGACCATGAACCACTAAATTAGAAAAAAAATTGTATTTCGCGTCCTAGCTGTTAACGACCTTCGTCTATCACGCTGCGAGCGTTCTCTGTTACGAGTCCCGTGCACGCATTCGCAAATTCGTAGCTCTATTTCCTTCAAGTCGCTGAGGCGAACTTGCATTTTGTTCTGCAAAACGAAACTGAACATTCGACGATAGATTCTCTGGCTTGCGATTGGGACGCGTACACTAATACTTTCCATATGATCATTTTAGAAAGAAGACTCTCCAATACGACAAACTTTGCTAATTTCGCCTGTGAAAACTATTCTTAGATATCTGCGACCTTCTTCTATGCATATTGCTATGAAGGACATTTATTTTAAATCAGAGAAATTAAGAATAAACTAATATTAATACAAAAGAAAATATTCAAGTTCAAAGCGATAATTCTGAAAAAAACTTTGACAAATATTATGCAAAGTGTGTTTCCTAATACTACGCTAAGCAGCTTTGAAAAGAACTTTTTAAGTGAAGCATAAAAATGTAAAAAAAAAATCGAAATATTCAATGTCATTCGCGCCCACTGCGTAAGGATCCCACTGCCCCTCTATCGTCGAATTAGATACACGATGCGCGGCGTGGCGGCAACCGCCGGCATGCATTTTTATTTTAACTTCGTGATATCTTTCGAATGGAATATCCGATTTCAATAATTAAAAAGTAATCAGGTATTGAGACAGTCTTGAATATTAAATTATTTATTCGGATAAAAATTTATAAATGGTACGGATAACACGGTCTGATTTTGATCGGCATTTCTATCAATTTGTTAAATGTAAAAAAGTAATTATAGCGTCGTAACTACAATAGTTAGACATATGCTTTCGCGATGTTTTTTGTAGATATCAATATATTCTATACTATTTTCGAACATTTTTGTCCTATCATTAATACTTTCGCAATTTTTTTACGCCTTCCGTTGGTTTTAGTAAGAATTATTTATAGATGCTTTAGTAATCAAGTACTAAATATAGCCTATGCTACTCACTGATAATGTAACTTTCTAATGAAAAAAGAATTATTAAAATCGGTCCAGTACTTTTTGAGTTTAACCGTTACATACAAAAATACAAATCTTTCCTCTTTATAATATTAGTATAGATTTTTGTGTGAAAGCAAAATTGTTTAATTTTTGCTTTATCACACACATTTTTGTTAAAGTGGTTAAGTGAGACATTGGTTTACAGGTTGGCCCTAATTATAAGGAAGACAAGGAATTAATTTTATATCCTAATAAAGGTGGTAAAGTGGCCGATATTTTAGAAGAGGCAGCTAAGGTCGTTGAAATGTCACCTGAGGGATCGGGAAGGTGAGACTTTATCTTTTCTCTTCTTAGCAATAAGAACCATAAAACCTAATAATGTCAATTAAAGAGGTTTCTCTACATAGTATATTTAAACTTCCATTTAGGTTACGGATCGTGGAGGTGTCTTGTCACAAGGTGTTACCGGGGCCCGACCCTGATCTGACGCTGGACCAAGTTACTAACTCCCCACCGAGACTCTACCGGATAGAAGAGATTCCGCGGGACGAGCTTGATTTGCAGGTAAAGTTCAGTGAATGCTAGGTTCTAAAATATTAATTATCCAAATCTTTGTACATTTAAGTCAATGGACAAATCAATGTATTTGATTTTTCGATATCTGGAAACGTTATGATAACATTGTTTGGTATATATTTTTAGGAGGATGAAATGCTAGTGCCGTGCGCGCACTTCCATAAGCAGGTGTACGCGACTTTCGGCATACCGTTCTACGCGCGCGTCAAACACCACGAGCCTTTCCAAGCGGTCAAGGAACGCCTGCAGAAGAAGCTAGATATACCCGACAAGGAGTGGGAGAAGGTAGGGAAGAACTATTTATGCATTAATCAATATAATAGACCGATGAATTAGTGATCCGATGAAGTTTCGTTAAATCGCTTATGATAAACATTTATTCCATCAATTGGTGGTTTTATAGGCACAATTTTCCCGTTAAATTATATGTAGGTCCCGCAATGCGACCACGGCTGAAAAAAATTCTAATTTTTTGGGTTGTCAATTTAACTTGTTAAAAGTTCAATGTGCTAGCGCATACTACAGATACAACTTGAAAATGCGATCAACTGATCTGTTTCAATGATTTTAATAATTACCATTCTTTTTTGCAGTACAACTTCGCTATAGTAACTAATGGGAGACCTAATTATATAAGTGAAGGAGCAGTAGTGAACATATTTGACTTCAGGCCAAGTAGTAATGCAAGTGAGTAGTTTTCGTTTTGGCGTTAGTTTAGTTTTGACCACTATTTTATTTGCGCCAAGTTGATTATTATCTATGCAGATTATTTTTAAGTTGCTTTCAAGCTTTTTACGGTACTTTTTATGTAGAATGCTTTTGTATATATCCGGCTCAAAGGACCAAATGTGAAATGACAGTTATTGATGTAATAAGAATTTAAATTAAATGATCTGTTTTGGTAACAATTTTATGTCAGAGACTTATCGAAAATAATATTTTATATACAAGTATCTACATCTATATACATGTTGTATTAATAATTATTATGTCTTACTGTTGTCATACAATCACAGGACTTGGCGATATAAATGTGGTCCTATTCTAAGTGTTAACATTCGACCCGACCCTACCGAGAACTAATACTCAAACGCAATAAAGACCTCTCGCTTCCAGACGCGACAGTGCGGCCGTGGCTTGGCCTCGAGCATATCAACAAGACGCCGAAGCGCTCGCGCGTCAACTACCTCGAGAAGGCGATCAAGATCTACAACTGAGTCACCAACGGATTTGATAGAGGACGGTCCATATAGCATAGCTCCTATCTCTTTCACACAGCTGAGCCGTTATAACGTGTTCTCTCTCTAGTAGAAATGACAGCGACGAAGTTGCATTCCTGGGATAATCAGAGATTTTTCGATTAAATGACACGATTGCAAAGATTAGTATTTTTTTAAAACTATTATATAAATTTAATGCAACTTTATTTAAAATATTTAAGTAAATTACTTAAATATTTTAAATACACATTTCATAGGATTTTTAAAAATCTTAATAACTTATCTAAGTTCTTTGTTAAGCGTCTCAGCTTAGTTCCTGCTCTTTATGGTGTATCCTGATAATTTATCTCTTGAGCACCAGGTTATAAATTATGCAACTTCGCTCGGTTTTTTTGAAGCACTTATAACGGCTATACAATAGTCCTGCTAGCGAATATTTCGACGGTTTCTCTCGCATATTTTAACGAACAGACATTTGTTAACAGAAATAATTGTGAAAAGAATAGCAATATTGATAGAGTTTAGATAATACGGCCGCGGTTAAAGGAGCAAACAAAATTTTGATTTTTAATTTATGCCGTGATTCTTTCTTTTTTTCTTCACAAACAAACAAATTAGAGCAACATAATTTCGCTTGAATTTTTATATGAATACATACGCTGGTACAGCAAGCTCTGTCTCTTTCACACACCGCGGAAATTCTATAGATTCTTTTCATTATTTGTTTCAATTCGTTTGTTTCTCTAATCGCGTGCCCAACACAGGTCGTGTGTCATAGTCAATAGTTCGCCTTAGCATTTTCCATTGTAATATCATAACGTGGCCTCTGAAACTTAGACTATATAAAATAAATTGCTTTTTCATTTTATGTTCGGTTTTATTAGAGCTACACGGCTGCGCCGATACCGCAAGCTTCTGTGACGGCAATTCGGCAATCCACGTGTTTCTCTTAGAGGATTTATTTAGAAATTTAAATTATTTATTTCATGAATTTTAAATAATATGATTTTCGCTGGGGTATTGTACGTTTTCACGTGCTTCGGCACTCGAATGTATTTTAATTTCAAGAGCTATTAACTGTAGGACACCTGAATAAGAAAACTTATTATATTTGATTATTGTGATTACCAATGCAGTGTTACTACATTTACCTAGTTAGGGGCCGTCAAAGTATTACGTAAAACAATATTCCTTAACCGACTTACGACCTTTCTTCTGGTCGAAGAAAGTGAGAAAAGATCTAACCGTCTTCCCTTGTGATGCGTAATCAAAACTGAATGAAATGTTATTTTGATTATTGCTGATAAACACCGTTCAGACCTCCCCCCCCCCAATGGTGGGGAACAATTTGTTCTTGTAATTCTTCTAGTTTAGGTTACGTAATACTTGAACGGCTCATTATTACGATTAAAACATTTTTACGAGTGTATTATTGTGGTTTAATGAATTTACGATAATTTGAGCAATTTATAATGAGACATTATTTTATTCGTATATTGAATTAATCTTTTCCCCGTATATTTTGTAAATAGTCAAATGTTGTAACGTTTCAAGATTTTTACTATTACGTTTTTATGTGGTATGATTCGTTGTGGAAGTGTATTGTTTTGTCGAATTGCCAGTGTCGTGTGTAAAATTGTCGATAGCAGTGCCTATATTATAATATAAATTGCGTCGATTGCCTTGTGTCGATACCTTAACCTAAGGGGTCTATTCTGCGATAGACAAAGTATATAACAACGCTAACCGACGTCAATATAGCAGAATTTGTCGTGTCATTCAGAATAGACCTCTCGGTACACGCCCAATATATAATAGCACGGCTAAGTTATTATGGCTGAAAGCCGAAAACGCAACCGGACAACATGTATATTATATTCGACTCAACTGAGAAATGTTACGTTTTTATGATTATGATGACGAAATTATGTATATATATGATGTAATAAATTAAGAAAAAAATACAATAAGTTTTCGTAAAGATGCCTTAGACGTTTTAAGACAGTTATTTCGAAATGATACTACTTAACTTATATCCCTCTAGGGCCGTGGCAGTCTTGATACTTTTGGTGCGTTTCGCCGACTATCAAGTCGCGTCGAACGCGCTATATAAGTATCCAGCGTGCAACGTTTAGGCGTTTGATTTATAATTTAAATAAAACAAGTAACTAATAATTGGCGTGATGTTTTTACCCGTGTGTCGCGCTAAAACATTAACAAGGTTTGAGGTATTGAAGATAGAAATAGATATAGATTAAATGCCGAAAATTGTGGCAAATGGGATTATAGTACGTCAGCTAACGGAAGCGTCCCTAGTTACCCGCAATGGCGTCTGTACACAACTTATACAAACTGGACGTGGCTCCAATGTTTGTTGTTGGATTTTCAACGTTTCTTCTGAATATAATCCTATATTTGTTTAATCTGGTTTATTTCATGACACAGTCCCTTATATTAATCGATCCCAGGCATGTGGTCCATACCATACCAGCCAAGAGCAAAGTTCAAAAGCCATATACAACTAGTGATAAGTTTATTGGACTTAATATTGAAAATATAGTAATTTTTATTACTGCCTCGACCGTTAAACTTGCTTAAATTGATTGTAAATACAGTCGTATTTAAATTTGTTGGTGAAAAATTGAAAAATAGCATTCATCGTAACATTATAAACAACAAAAATCGAAAGATTACGTAATGTTGGCAGATAAGTCGAAGATCTCGTAAGTACGAAGAACAAGAAAAGTAATTTTTGACTATAATTTAGGCGAGTTTTTTCAATTTAATGGTTTACAATGCGAAAATAGTTTAATTTAGTATATTTTCATAAGATAGAAGACAGACAAGTATGGGGTTGGTTTACTTGAAGGTAGGTAAGTTATCACATCTTTATAACATCTAAACTAGATGCTCGCCACCTATTTTGCGAAACGCAATTACACTTCACGGCTTTTCCATTTGTGGTCGTGGTTTGTAATCAGGACGGAGTATCGATTGATCACCTTGTAATATCCAAATTTTCAGACGAAGACATGTTTCAAAAAAATTACAAATTGATTTGAAATATGTTGGACCCGGTGCCACGACCTGTTGATCATTAGCTATACATGATATGCTATGATGACTATGCCATTACACCAACGAGAACGACAGATACTTTGGATTTATTTCAACTACGACGCGATAATTCGTACGCTTTGCAGCGGTGTCCCCCGTGATTTCTAAATCGTGAAAATTACAGTAAACAACGTTACTTTTTAATCCTTTTTAAAAACAAGTTTGTATAGGCATTGTTATAAAAGATTTTCCACGAGTACGTTGATTCACAATAGCATAGCTGAAGAGCTCCAGCCATGAATGGTGGGTCGTTAGCTATAATCCGATTCGGGCCATCGCATCGACTATCCCGCATTCGGCTATTCCACATTCCCCTCCTCCGTTTCGCAATGCAAGTTCAGGAATTTGAATGCAAATTGAAAATGCCATTAGATCAGCAAACATCTGCTTTCCGAACGATGCGATTGTGTAAGCGGGAATAATTCTGGGTACTACTACCTACTAATATTGCTATCGCTAGCATAATTTTGGATGGTAATAGAGTAAACACTAGTTAGAGCTTTAAGGTTTTACTGATGGGGGTAAAATCGTGGGGGGGGGGATTACGCTTTATGTAGTCGCTTTGAAGGAACAACGTGGGCTGTCGGGCTGTATTTGAAATAAATTAAAAATAAGTAAATTAATATATTTCACGTTTTACACTTTTTGACGAAAACAAATTTTACCTTTGTCAATTCATGAATAATAATATTAATTATTTATTTATTTTTACTTTCATTGCCGTACATTTTTTGGGCCTTTACGATCTTTTAACTAATGAGAAATAAATTAATTGCTTTTCGTAAAACTCATCCTTTAATTACAATTATAAATAATTCAGTAATATACCTTTCCCCTTTAAATAGGTGTTTGTGAAAAAGAAGGTTAAAAATTATATCCATTACTATGTATCTATTTTTTTTCTTATATTAGATGCGACATTTGAACGTCACGTCTACAATATAATTTTACGTAATTCGAACGAATATAACTTTAAATACTGTCTATAGTTTACGCGAGTAGTACACATTTAAATAAAACACATTAACGGTTTAAAACGCGATATATTAACGGGAGACACCGTCTCCCCATGACCACGGCTGTTACAAAGCATCCGAAACGTCGGGATGAAGTTAAAAATAATTTTCAAATAAGTTAAAGTAATATATCGCGTTTTAAACCGTTAAGGTGTTTTATTTAAATGCGTACTACTCGCGTAAACTATAGACAGTATTTTATTTTGTCTACTACAAAAATACATTCGTTTACGAGGCCCTATCTATTAAATGTATCTGTATAAGAAAACCAATGCTCTTTCCCTGTCGTAAAAAAATTAAAAATATAAACAGTAAAAATTCACCTAATCTTATAACCAAATGCTGAAAGGAGTTTTCATCTCGGCGCTTCAGCTATATTTTTTTACGGGATCATAAACATTTTTATATTTATTGCCTCGGTCACATTCGCATTTTCCATGTAATTTCGTAATACTGAGATGGGAAATCGACTTACCGTAAATGCGTTGAAATTGTTCGTTCTAGTTTGTCTTGGTGTTTGCGAAGGCAGATTGACTACCGCGTTGCTGAAACAAAGCACATCGCCTAAGCCTAGTACGATTTATAGAAGGATTAATGTTTACCGAAGTGCAGATGTACCGGAATTTGAAACGGTTGAAACTAGGCGAAGGAATACTAGGACACGTGAGTTATTGATTCAAATATGCGCAAGAGACGATTTGAATACAAATGGGCAGGTTAAATTAATCGAGGTGGGCACTGATACCCGCCGGGTCCATCATTTTTCTAATCAAATTATAATTTTTCTAAAACATGTTGGACGTCTGGAAATCTGGATATTAAATCGTATTTCCGTCCGGGTTAGGAACCACCGTCCACAGATGA